AAGCGAACTCCGTTTCAAATTAATATTCCAAATTTAGCATTCTGGCTAGCCAATGAATTAAACTGCGCACCGGTAAAATACTTTGAGCCAGCTTATTCTATTACATGTGTAGTCTTGGATTATGTTATCAGCATTTGAATTTAATATCTATAAATGCTTAATTTAAATAGTCATGAGTGGTGATTTTATCGTTAGCACACATTATGCTTTTTATATGCAATTTAAACCAAAATAAGAAAAGTTATTTTCAACCTTTTTCAGTACTTGTGAGTATCTAAGACATAGCGACAACTCGCTATCTATTTAGTAGGAATTGCAGGACTTTCACTACAGCTTCATTTACAACATTGGCCCTACAAATTTCATTCGATCATGTAAATTAAATTAGAATTTTTGACAAGAAGAATGTGCTTCGAAAGAGTATTCAGCTAATATTACTCTTGTATTTCCAGACGAATCAACGGAAAGCAAAAGATTAATGGCTGTGCATCTAATTTGTTTTTAAGATTTGGCAGTTTATTTTTAATACATGATTTAAGAATGCTGATATATTCCACATTATGTACAATTAAATTGCCAACAGTTGGAAATAAAAACAGTTCCTAAATATTGTGGCATCATTAGCTATTACAGATATTTACCGTGTTTTCTTCTTTTTGCATTATTATTTCTTCTTTTTGTATTTTGCTTTATTATGATAATGATAGTACTTTTTCCATGGTTTCCCAATACATTAGCTTTTTTAGATAAGGTCCGCTTAGTTAACCCCCAGTTAATCTGGAGTCAACTATATTCTAAGTAATCAAACTTACATATCAATGTAATAAGTATAATTAAAAGATAAAATGCATTTAATGTGCTTTGAAATTGTTGTATCTGTTTCCGATATGGTAAATATAAAACTGTTGTTCTTAGAAAGTTCTTCATGAAGGCAAATTTCGTGAAGAACTTCCGCCTTATGGCTAGCCAATGAACCCTCGTTATCAGCCTTTAGCATATAATCGTCGTGATCTTTGTTTACCTTTTTAGGGTGTTTGTAAAACGTTTTAGAAGATTTGCCAAAATGTTCCATTTAAGGAAGGTTTCAGTCGCTGTTTTTTTTAATTTAAAACATAAAAATAAAAAGAACAATTTATGTTTAATTTTTCCTCTTTTATAAAAAATCAAATTTAGGCTTTTTTTATAGTCTTTTAGGGAGAATGTGTGGGCTTTTCATAATTTTTTAGTCAAAATTTCGTGCATATATGATTCTAAAAAGAAAAGGAAATAGTTTACTTTTATGTAAAAGAAGAGGAAACTCACTGACGTGCCCTTAATACTTGGAATTTTCTACTCTGTACATGTGTATATTTGTTTTATGAAACAAGCTGCATTTTAATTCCATTTTAATAAAAAATTCTCAAATCTTTTAATTGATACGTGTCATAATTACTAAGCTTTCTCCATCCAAGATATGAAAAGTTATAAAAAAATGAGTTAAGTAAAATAAATAAAGAAGTAAGCAATTACTATTCACGTCGATTTCGAATTCCCTATGTACATTTCCTGATATTGGCATATTTCACAAATTTTCCGTGTTATGGTTAATTATCGCTTTGCGTGACTTAACTGATATTCAGAGAACGCTCTTTTTCTCCAATTAACTTGTTTTCTAAAATCAGTAAAATTTATTAAACATTGCTTAAAGCGATTTCAAATATCATTAGCGACGATTCTCGATAGTATCTTTTCAGATACTTGTATGTGGAATGATATAAGAGAAACACTGAATGCCATTGATAAGTACCCAAAACTTTAATGAGTGTCAAATACTATTAAGTAGGCTACATAGGGTAAATGGGAACTACATTTGTAAGCAAGGTCCCGAATTTCTTTCAGAATTAATTTTGCTCAAATATTTTGAAAGAGACAAAGGTAAAGTTTTAAATAGTGCAAGGTAGAAATGGTAGAAATTTGCATAAAAAGATGCAGAGTAATGTAAGAGTTTTGTTATATTATTTACAAATGATGTTAAATAGATACATAATCACAGATATCTAATACAGATTTTTTTTATGTTATTAACTTTCAGTTATAAAGCTCTTTTTTCTCGAGACGAATTAATAATTGAATACAATAAATACTTTTAAATTTAGCCGATAAAATATTTTATCATAATATTTAATTATATATTATTAAGAACACCGTACTTTTAATAGTAAAATTTTTCTTTCACATGGATAAACGAAAATAAGTAGCATTAAATAAATGCATGATAGTGAATAATGAATAAAATTCTGCTTGAACCAGGCTTGATTATATTTGAGTTCTAGTCGCTAAAACGGATTTAAATAAACTGAAGTAAGAGCACTCTACTAACAAATACCAAAAATTTGTGCTAGTAAATGAAAATCAAATTTTAGGTGTGAATGCGTGTTGGAAAATTAAAACTGAAATTACTTTTCTAGCTTCTTTTGTTTTTTCCTTATTTTTGCAGTGACTTTTCTCTCTTATCATTTAAATACTTATTCAATTCCATCTTATTTATTGATCAAATTATACATCTAATAACTTCACACATTTTTGATTTAATCTCCGTACTTCTTCAGGTAAGACCTCAGAAGAGATTCTTAGAATGAAATGATAATTTAAACTATAAATATATATATATATATATATATAACTTCAAATCTAAAATCTTCAGATTATAGTCTTTACATTGTAAGTATCCTAAGTTTTACTAACGTTTATTTTATTTTAAAACTGTAGTATCACTTCTTATTTTCTACTTCCGGCCAGAATTAAATACTTTAACTTGTTTATGCAAATTGTCTTTCTAACGCCCAAGTATTTAAGTTGTGGCTTTTTGCCAAGAGTTAGAAGGAGATTTAGGAAGCAAGCCGCTTGCCACTGCAGTTCTACGAGTTTTCAGTCAGTTGCTGGTTGCCTCTAAGGCCAGAGGTTTAGCCCTCTTGATATTTGAAAACTTACTGTAGTTTCAGCAGCTCGGCGTACTACATACGTACGCTTTTAAATAAAGGCCAGTTTTAGTGCTAGGCATTTATATACTAATTCAAAGTTATCTTTTTCGTTAGAGTTTTAGTTAGCAGTTTTATATTCTTGCGTTCAGACCACAAGTGGTTGGTCTCTGTATCCCGAAGTTCGGGAGTACCTGTAAAGTATTGAAAATAAAGGGTTTCGTATACCCATCCTGCTTTGTGTTGTCTACTCCATAGATTGTTGAACATAGCTTGAGTAAGCTCCCTGTTCCTCTTCAGGACACATCATGTTTCAAAACAAATCAAGAGAAACACATGTCCTGACAACATATGAAAACAGAAATAACGAACGTTTTAATTTTCTACCATTTTAAAAACACTTTTATTTTTCCTTCTAGAAATTTGCTCACCATATCTTGAAAAGTTGTCATTTTGAAAGGCTTATTACAACTTCATTCTGACATTTTTGTCTCATGGAGCTTGTCTGAGGCAGAATTACGCTCACAGAGGCCTTTAAGACGTTTGCCTTTGACCACAACAACATCGTAGTCGTCTGGAGTGGTGTAGCAGCCGATCATCATGGCTGATATCAGACTGGCATCGTATAGTGTTCAGTGATGAATCCCACTTCACTATTGAAGCACATGATCACCGTGTTCGTCTCTGGAGAGGAAGGGCCCAGCGGACCCAACCAGCCTTTGTTTTACAAAGGCATACAGCTATAACCCCTAGTATGATGGTGTGGGGCGCTATTTCTTATGACAGCAGGTCATCTTTAGTCATCTTCCGTACATGTATAACAGCTCAATGATATGTTCATATTATCCTGCGGCAGGTTGCATTACCCTTCATGGCACGTCATCCTGGGGCCATTTTCCAACATGATAATGCCAGGCCACATACCGCTCTCACATCTCTGGACTGTCTCCGTGCGGTTGATTCTTCCTTGGCCAGCAAGGTCACCAAACTTTTCACCAATCAAGTATGTATGGAACATGGTAGGCCACCAGATTCGGGGACCACAAAATATTGCAGATCTGGAGCTATAACTGATGAATGCCTGGCAGAATGTGTCGCAGGATGACTCTAGGAACCTCTATCACTCCTTGCCTCGACGAATTCATGCATGCATTGCCGCCAGGGGCGGTTCGACCAAGTACTAATTTGAACACTCATTGAACACTCATTGGGTGATTGTGAGCCGTGAACAGGTACTATGACCTTGATTTTTTAATCATTTTATTATCTGTGTATGAGCTATACACATATTCAATTTGATCAAAAACAACCACTTCCTTCATGGGGCTTCGATATTTTTGCAAAAGAGTGTATATCATAAGTTATCTCCTTATTTTCAATTTTTATTCTCTTATTTCTATTTTGCTTGACTGTAAGAATTCCTTTAATCTCCTGCGTGATATTCCATGATTTGCTTGTAACTCATAGCAGGAAATCTTCTTTTTTAAGTATAACTGCATTACTAGTACAGCGAAAGCCACCTTCAGCCAACTAGCTTTAATTTCAGCTATATTTCACTTAGCTGTACTAACGGGCTTAACATGTATTTCTTTTGTCTTTTGCAGGTAACTGAATTTTACAATTGGAAGCAAAAGAGGGATTTGGCTGGTATAAAAGGTGCCTAGTGGTGCGTTTTTAGGAGCTCAGCTACCTTCAAGAGAACCAGATTTTTTTTTTTTTTTATCATCATAAGGAAGTGAAAGAAAACTTTCGAGTGTCGCTAAATCTCTCAGTACTAAGCTACAGACAGAGTGCAGGAAATCAAATATCTCTGTTAAGACGGAAGCGAATATCGATGTGTATACCAAAATCTGGTACAAAATCTTTGTGTACAAAGAATACCAAAATCTTGGTGAAGAGAAATCAAGAAATACGGATAAAGTATATGTGAAGTGGCTGATTTGGAAAGCTGATGTCATCGAGATATTTTGCATTTTCCGGCAGAATATGATGGATATGACTAGCGTATCACAAGAAGATAAAGAATATCTTAGGTAACGAAGAGAAGATCGTATGAATTCATTAATGAGTGGAGTAGACAAGGTTTTCGCCTCAAAAATAAAAATGAAGAGTACGAAAGAAGACAAAAATAACTGATCTAATAATAATAAATATTGCAAAGCTATCACTGTAATCAATGAGACTATTATCCTGGAAGTCTCATCTCCACCATCATCAGCACCTATTGACGAAGAGGCCGAGTTTACGCCTCCGCAACGAAACAATTACATTCAGTTGCTAGACTAAAAACCTTTTGATCAGACACTCACTTCTACTTGGGATCGAGAACAGCTTTCTATTGTACAAGAAAGTACATTATTTATAGCAACCGTAAAGAGGCTCGGTCACGGTGTTTAAAAAATGTTCGTATATTCGGCTATCATTTAACGAGCTCCGGTGATCAATAGAAGTAAAATGGCAAAGAAAATCGAAGAGTGGCTCCGTGAAAATATCACGGTATGTCTCTTGATATTGCAGCATCAATACAGGGCTTATCCAAGGAATGGACAAGAATTGAAAGGGAATTCGGAGGAACATGGTTCCGGTTGGCTTGCCGACATTACATCCCATGAACGTGTAAGGTGTATTTTCATTTTATGACAGTTATTTTAATTTTTAAACCATTTTCTTCAATTCCTTTTTCTCACTTATAACTCCCTACCAGGATGAGGTTTTAGAATCGCGTTGAATGCAAATGAGTTAGCAGTAGTATTTATTGAAAGTTCAATTAACTTCGATACAGAGTGCTAGGAGCACTTAATGGCGCGTGTTTGCCTTCTGGCTAATTCATTATTGAAGCTGTTACGCTCGGAAGTACTATATGTGCCTACTAATATTCGCCGGCTAGTTTAATTTAAGAACAAACTACGTTAAATAATTGTGTCTAGCTTCGGCTAAAAGTTAGATTAGATTTTCATTTCCTTATTCTGAGTTAAATCCCGAGTAGAGGCTTTCCTGTAAGCCCGAGAAGGGGGCCGACTGTATTATTTATTTCAGTGAATAAAAGGGTAATTTAACCCTTTTCGAGTCTGCGTCTTAGTTGTCTGAACTCAGCGATAAGTCGCTACAAAGTTCATTTGGTTCCTCGACGTTTCAACACAAACAAAAGGCGAGGAACATCCTATTTGGCGCCCGAAAATCCAACGAACTAGAGCATTAGAGAGTGGAAAATTTTCATTGAATATTCCTACCTTTTAAATTCCTCAGACACAATAAACCCAATGGATTGTGTATGTGATTATGGCAAAGCCTCGAGGGCTATCTGCCTAAAGGGAGGGATGCCTTCGTGGAGGACTTTCTAAGAGAAACTGGCTCGTATACACTTAAACCCAATGGAAGAGTTCGGTTTCACAGCAAGGAAGCCAACTGTGATATTCAGCGACAAAGGTTGGGTTATAATCTTTCTGTAGCAGTGGGTGGCCTTTTTTGTTACATGCCGTCCAGAAACACTCCATACGTGGCAACTGAAACAGCAAGCTTATAAGGCCAAGCCCTTAGTTGGTTCAAGGGTATCAGCTGCTGGAGTATCCCCGCTCCGAAGCATACAACTGGGAAAACTTCAAAAACCGCACTTCTAAAATCATTCCCATAGTCAAAGATCGAGTAAAACTCTTCAGTAAATATCAGACGAATGTGGAAGAACTGATCCAAAATTTTTATTTTGCTAAAAATTCAAATATTTAATTTACTGTATGGAAAGAGGCCGGATAATGAATTAATCGAGGTGATGTTAACGCGTCTACTTCTTTCGATTCAGAAGTTGATAGAAGTGGGAAATCCACAGACGCTGGACAAACTTTCGCCAGACCATAATTCAAGGTTTTCGTCTCAACAAGAGCTCAAAGTAGGCAATATCCTTATCGACAGCCTAAGAAAACCGAAAAACGCGGTAGCAAGAAGACTAGTCAAAGTCATTTGGCAATCGCCAAAAGAAGCAACAGAAACAAGAGGCTGATAAACAAAATGATGTAAGCTACTTAGGGTATCCAAGAAGAGGGTCTGGTCACATCCTGATAAGAAACATTCCTCAGAGATTGAGCTAAATACCGTAATGATACAAAATGTGGCCTTGCCCGAAATCCACATAATACTGAATAACGTGCCTACCACTGCCTTACTCTACACTGGGGCGCAGTGCAGCTTTCTGGCACAAGATATTTTTAAAAAGTCTTAAATCTGCACTTGCAGATTAAAAACAAAAGTCAAAAAGTGTACTTTCTTGTAGTTAAAGGATCAGTTAACATCAGTAATTTGGGCCGGGGGGTTAACTTTTTTCTCGCAGCGATCGCGGACGTTATTTTAAGAATTCCACTTTGCAGGTACAAATGGATGCTGCAGAAGAAAAAGGGAGGTGCACCTTCAGAAGTAGAGCTGAATCACCTCCAGGAAGAGAATAAGAAGAAAAGCCCTGGTAAGATATTTTAAGAATCATTTGACACGAAACCTAGCTTTTGCCAGATAGTTGCCCAGGAAATAAGTACAAGAGATCCCCCCAGTAAGAGCCAAGCCTTTTAAATATGCCAGGATTAAAGAAGTAGTAGAAGAACATATTAGTGATATGTTGACAAATAAAATAATCGCGCCAAGTAACAGCCCCTACGGAAGTCCGGTAATCTTATTAGAAGAGAAAAATGGCTTCCCACCTTCAGATCCGAAATCGTGGAGATTCGCTGTAGACTATCGCAAATTAAATAGTACAACAAAATATCCTGTGTATTTCCTGTCCATTATAGATGAAGTAATCAGGAAAAAAATTGGCAAGTTATATGCCAACGCTTCATCTAACATCAGGATATTTTCAGACAGCAGTAAAACATGAAGATGTAGAAAAAACAGCCTTCATCACAAATCAGATGTGTGTGCCTTTTTGAGAATGCCGTTTGGCTTAAGTGGAGCTCCGGCTACATTCCGGAAAGTTGTGAATATCGTTTTAACTAAAACATGCATTAATAAATGCCCCAGTACCGGAAGATGACCAACATTTAGAAATCGCTGCGGCCGCCTCTGATTTCGCAGTCGAGGCCGTTCTTTCCCAAATCGGGCAGCCAACTGCCTATTTTACAAAATTTAATCCGAGGTTCGAAGAACCATTTATTATTGAAAACGATCCAGCAGGAAGATGTCTGAGGTGCAAAATGACAGCGGAGTTTACATCCACTTCGCCCTCGCAAACAAGGAAGGCCAAAAGGAAGGCATCGGACCCAGAGACAAGGAGGATCGCCTAACCATTCAAGCGTAAAACTACCAGTATCCACAACCGAAAAAAAATGGATGCTCAATTCATCAACAAAAGGTTAAATAGAAAGGAAAATCTACACCAAACAAAGGCCACCCGCGAAGGAAAATCACAGTTCAAAGCTTGAATTGTTCTACTTGGGAGACAATTATCCACAAGATAATGGAGAACATCAAAAAACAAAACGATACGTGAAAATTTTCTCCTTCTTGTCATTTTCAAGTGAAATTCAGTTTATATCATTTTGTTCAAAGTTGCGAAGGAGAATAAGGTTTCCTCAAACGAGAACATATGTTATATGCTGCTAAAAGGAAGATTTTTCATTTAGTTCGCAAGTTCGCGATAAAGTGTACTGTAAATATCTTTTAATCGGAAAGACTTGAAATTACGATTCAAATAGTCATAAACTAAAAGTTAAAATTAAAATTTTTGAAAAGAATTGTAAAATATGTAAAGCAACTGTGTACGCTGTGATGTAAAGTGAATTGAAAACTTTTACTATGTTAAATGTGTAAACATTTTGTAACCAAAGTAAATTTTATATGATGAATGTAAAAGTTCAAACAAACATTGTTTAAAGGAAATATTTGAAAAAAAAAAGTTAGTAGAGGGAATGCTTTAAATGCCAGGCTCTCCAGTTACACGAAAGTTTATAACACTTTCGCTCATATAGTACACGAGGCATAGTTTTAAAAATAAGGTGCCCTTTTAGGTCTGGAGTGTAAAGATTTTTTTTTTACTTTTAGGAAGTTGGTTAGATGGTAGTGTTGTCATTTCAACACAAAATTTTGGAGCTCATCGCCCTACAATACATACATATCGAGAGCGTTGGGGGATTGAGTTTTAAATATGAGATCATAAAATTTTATGTGGGCCAAACAAACTGATAAAATGTAAATTGTAGGGGAAAGTGTAAGAATTTATCTCTATATAGAGTACTAATACTTTTTTCTTCCAGATATATTGGAAGACACACAAGAAGTCAAGACAATTATGTAGAGTGCTGAAAATAGGAATGTCAAAATTTGGAAAAATATTTTTCTTTATCATAGTATTAACTCAGACCTTTGTAAAGCTGGCCCTAAAACGAGGCTAAACTTCGATTCTTCCTAGTGTAATTTAGATTGAGAAATGTAAAGTTTGAAAAGTAAACTTAGAGAATGTTTTTGTAGAATTTAAAACTCTCAACAAGGTCGTTGTGAGACCTTTTCATCCAAGTACTTAAATTCTGCTGGGGGAAAATGTAAGGTGTATTTTAATTTTATAACAGTTATTTTAATTTTGAAACTCTTGCCCTTCAATTCTTATTTCTCACATACAACTCCCTACCAGAATGATGTTTTAGAATCGCCTTGAATGCAGTAGTATTTATTGGAATTTCAACTAACTTCGACAGAGAGTGCTAGGAGGACTAAGAACTCCTAGAGGCGTGTGTTTGTCTTCTGATTAATTTAATATTGAAGCTGTTATGCTCGGCCGTATTATTGCCTATTTATAGTCGTTGCCTAGTTTAATTTAAGAGCCAAATACGTTAGACAATTGTGTCTAGCTTCGGCTAAGACTAGTTTAGTTAGTATTAGATTAGTTTTTTATTTTCTTACTCTGAGTTTAAGCCCATGTAGAGGCTTTCCTGTAAACCCGAGAAGGGGCCGATTCTATTATTTATTTGAGTGTATAAAAGGGTAACTTAACCCTTCTCGAGTCTACATCTTTAGTTGTATGAATTCAGCGATAAGGCGCTGCGTAGTTCATTAAGTTCCTCGACGTTTATCATAGACAAAGGGTGAAGAACATCACAATCTAATATTGAAAGTAGTGTTTGAGGAGTGTTGTTGCATACACTGAGTGGTTCTGATATTCAGATTTTTGAGAAGTTCCAAAGTTTAAGGGTTTCCCTTCGTAGGATGTCGTACACGATAATGCTGGATGAAAAAGGTCCCATTCAATGTTTTCTAGAAGAACAACAAAAGAAAATTGTTAATTACATTAGCAATGTCCTAAAAGACAAAACTCATCCAAGAAAAGACTGCAAAGAGTTGTTACAACTCTCACTACTATACCTAGAAGGAAGGTCTGAAAAGGAAGTCGTTTTGACGACTTCCTTTTCAGGATCGCTGGGGTTCTGCATCAAGCAAGGTGGATGACAATATATACACATAAAATTTTTCTCTTCACTAAACAGTTGAATATTAATGAACGAGAACAAGAATTGAAAGGAATGAAATAAGTTTTCGTCAGCTTTATATATGTTCGCTTTTGGCCCGAGGCAACTGCCAAAGTTTCCAAAGCTCCATGGTCTCCAAAGAATGATTCTGATATGCTACAACTTCTGAGCATTTGC